GAAAACTCTAAGTTTAAAGACACAAGATTTATTCAAAGCAACACCATCAATAACAAGAGTATGGTCCCAAGACAAGTTATGGTGGTGGCTTACAGAATTAAAATTGGTGACAAAGAAGATGAAATGGGTATAGCGAAACCAGTTAAAAGCCTTGAATGAAGGCTGGCACCTGTGCCCCATGCCTGTAATCCTAGCTACTCAGAAGGCTGAAATCTGAGGATCGCGGTTGGAAGCAAACCAGGGCAGGAAAGTCTATGAGACTCTTATTCTCCAATTAACCACCAAAAACTGGAAGTAGCATTGTGGCTCAAATTGGTTTAGTGCTAGCTTTGAGCACAAAAGCCCAAGAACAACACCCAGACCCTGAGTTCAAGAGCAACAAAAAAAGAAAAAGCCTTGAATGATATACCAAAATGTCTGGATTTAAGCCCAGAGAAAAATATCATAGCTGAATCCCATATCTCTAAAATTACTTGTGGATTTATTCATTATGCCTTTCTTGAATCACCCTGAATGACTTGTAGCTATTTTCTGCACCAATCCACCTTAACATAAATAATATCAACGTGGGCACATTAATAGTCTATCTATCTAGTCATACTAAGAGATATCTTATAAAATGCTAAGGTTGACTCCCATGATATTACCTATAGTTAGGAACAAATCTCAAATATCTCTAAAATGCCTAGAAAATTCTTACTGACCTACCCATAGTTCAGCCTATCATCTAAAGCAATGAGTTGAATGACATAGAATATTTGTTTCCTTCCCAAAATAATTTTTCAAGCATTAAAAATATCTCATACTTAACACTGTGTCTGGAAAATAGACTTTATATTTATTGAACTTAAATTCTAAATCACACCAACATATTAACCATATTCATTTCATGGTTTGGAAGCCTTTGATCATATTTCTCTCTCCACAGTTCTTTGCACAGAGACAGAACAACTAGAAAATCTCTCTTTTTGACCAATTTCATTGGGTTTCTGTGACCTTTTTTAAATCAGTTATTAGGTTTTCCTTGAGAATCAGACACCAGAATTTTCTGTAGGTGAAAATCTACTTTTGATCTTTTACGTGGAAAAGACATAGGCTTTGTTTTGTTATTGCTGTTATTGACAGTTAAAGATGTTTGTACACAGGCTCTTACATTTGTTAAGCAAGCAATTAGTCCCCACCCCAATCCTGTTGTTCGCACCTTTCCAAGTCTGGTCACCTTGTTTTTGCTCTCAGAGCAATATCATGACTAGACCTGCTTTGCTATAGACTGATCCATCATGATTTTTAATTTTATTTTTATATTCGTTTTATGTGTATGCCAGTATTGGGGCTTGAACTCAGGGCCTGGGTGCTATCTTATTTGCTCTTTTGCTCAAGGCTGGCACTGTAGCACTTGAGCCACAGCTCCAGTTCTAGCTTTCTGGTAGTTAACTGAAGATAAGAGTCTCATGGACTTCCCTGCCTGGACTGGTTTTGAACAACAATCATCAGATCTCAGCCTCCTGAGTAGCTAGGATTACAGGCATGAGCCACCGGTGGCTGGTATCATTTTTACATACCTTATTGTCTAATTTAGACACTAAAGCTATGTCTGTATCTGAATACAGCCACTTAGCTCCTCCCACTGAAGGTAGTCATAATTCCAAAAGGTCTGATATAAACTCACTTTTTATCATCAGCAACTATGTCTCCATTTGTGAGACTTTTCTAATATTTTCTGAGGAGAATTTTTGCTGATTTTACTACTTTATATCTTCACAACCCTAATTTCCTTCTTTATCCTGTTTTACTTTTTTTTAAGGTCTGATATGTATATACCTACAGTGATTCTAAGTCCCTCAAGAAAGGGATCTCATAAGAATAAATGTAGCTCGGTGCCAATGGTTCATGCCTGTAATCCTAGCTATTCAGGAAGCTGAGATCTGAGGATCATGGTTCAAAGCCAGCCCAGGCAAAAAGTCCCCATGAGACTCTTATCTCCAATAAACTACTAAAAATCAGGAAGTGGCACTATGTGGCTCAAAAGGTAGAGCACTAGCCTTAAGCACAAAGAGACTCAGGGACAGCACCTAGGCCTTGAGTTCAAGCCCCACACCAAGGGGGAAAAAAGAATAAATGTAGTTTTAGTTGGCCTAACTGTGACCTTACACAATGTAATGCCTCTGATTACTATGCTTACCAGGTTTCATGAGCTCTTTCTGAAGTTTATTCTCATCAGCTTAACTTCACTCCTTAGAGGTAAGCTGGTGAGAAACCTGAATGAATTGCCCATTGGAGGGTACACCTTCTTTTTCATTCTTCCTTCCTTCCTGCCTCTTCCTTCCTTCCTTCCTTCCTTTTTCCTTCTTTAAGTAGTTGTACAAAGAATTTCCAATTCAACATGTCAGTATGTGGGTACAATGCATCTTGATCACTGTCACCCCTTCCATTGTTCTCCCTCATTTCTCCCAACTCCCTCCAACACCTCATAACCTGCTTCCATTTCCACACATGTATATTGAATATTATGACTATATTCACACACACTTCCTCTCCCATTCATCTGCTGAAGGGTGTACTTTTTATCTTTTTTCCTCTCTAAGAGTTGCTGTAACAGCAGCTGTTGTGTTGAAAAACTAAAATATAAAAATATGACCTACGTGGACAAATCGTACAAAACTTTACTTCCTTAATTATGAATCAGAATCTGTCAGCACAACTTAGAATTTTGACTGTCAGCAGATACTGCAATCAAATGCCTCTGCAAAACCAGCAGAGGGTGCACCAGGGCACTAGAAATTTTACCCAAGATGTAGCAGTATTAACTCAACTCTAACAGCCAATCAATATTTTCTTTATTCAGATTATTTATTATATACTAAAACTAGTAGCTTGAAGAGATACTTAAGTTGAATTTGGACTAAAAATTCACTTAAAGTATTATTCCATTTCTCCTGAAAGTCAAATTCAGGAAAAATGAGGAACTCATAATTATATTTAGTCTGGTCAAAATGTAGGGAGGATAGGACAAGATAAGCCTTTTACTTCCTAAGACTTTTACTAGGGAGCTCTGTACTGTCACTTCCAAAAGCTTCAGCAGGTAGCCTGCTGTGATAGAACAGGCATTGAACTAAGAATTATGAAAGCAAGTCCATTCTATTTTTTACTCTTAGGCAAGTCACTTCCCCCTTAGGGCCTATGCATTCTGCAAAGGAATCCACAAAATGTATTAAAATGGCCCTTACAGTAACAACAAGAAATCTCTATTTCAAAATCAATGCCAAGAAATATAAAGAGCCAGTGTCATTTAAATGTAAAGAGCCACTGTTGTTTAAAAAGACTAAAACAGAAAGAGTAAAGGACAGAAGATAAGCTTTGGTTAAATGTAGACAGAAGTATTTTAGGGCTAGGCAAAGGGCAGGCCACTAAATGCCATAACAGACGTTTAAGAATCCCATGGCATCACAGAAGCCCCACAGTACAGCTGTCCTGCTAATCCTCAGTCTATAAACATGGGTCTCTCCATCTTAAATGCCAAAGTCTTGGCCATCATTTGACTAAAGACCTTGAATTCTCTCCTATTTGCACAGAATATCAATGTGCAGCTAGTAAGTATTTCTACTAGACTTTGGGAAACAGATAAAGGAACCAGAATCCTAGCTAAGTATCATGTAGCTACAGTGTTTAAAGTTTCAAGTATGAGAAGCATGTCTGTTGAGTCTCTTCTTTGATAAGCTGTTATATAAGTTGGAGTGTGCTCACAAGACATTTTTAGGCCCTGGATAACTTTACAATGCACACTGTAGAAAAGAAAAGTTGTCAGACCTTACATTAATATTGTTATTATCATGAACGTGTTGCCTGTGTCAAGTGTATAACTTTGGATAGGAGGTCAGCACAGAACAGATGAAGTTTAAAGAGTTATGACAACGACTGTGGATATGGTAGTAAATATAATAAACTGAGTCCCTTACCTCAGGAACTTTTATTTGGACATTTTGCCTCTTCTCCAAAAGGTGCAAATTCACTCTTACACTTTCATCACCTCTAAAGGATGGTGGCTGCCTCTCCTAACTTTCACATAAGTAACAAAATATGGCAGTCGAGATAATACTTACATTAAGTGCACTCAATGTACTTGAAGAAAGGGCTAGAAAAAAAGTTGAAAGCTAATAGTTTTGTAAAAGGGTTCAAACAGCATAAAGATCCTCCCCCCCCAAAAAAAATAAACTAATATTGGGAGCCAACTCTAAGTGATCAGTCCATCAAGAGCTTCCTGTTGTAAGCTAGCAGTAATGAAAATGCTTCCTGTGCACCTTTCACAGGGCAACCTCACCCGCCCTCCGAGGGAGAAAAGGGGGGGGGGTCAGGACCGGCATGCAAAGGGTGAGTTTTTATTTCCATAGATTTTTGAAATTGCTGTTCAGAAGTTGTCTAGCAAGACGGCATTTTTCTACCAGAATTCCTCAGGGGCGCTGATCCTCACTCGAACGTCGAGGACAATCAGTGTCAAGTTGCAGGTAAAGTGTGAACAAGCCCATGTTGTGGTCAGTGCCCAAGGACCCCGAGGAGAGCGCGCTTAGAAGTTGCTGGAACAGGCGTGGAGCAGTTCCTACAGCTGTTTACAGCCCAACTCCAAAGGGGAGCCTGCGAGTGCTGGCACCAGCTCCGGACACGAAAAAACAAGCGCCTCGGCAGAAGTACAACACCTCCCCAGGAGCACGAGGGCCCAGCTCCTTGCCGTTAGTCGGCCAGGGAGCCAGCGCGGGCACCTCCTCGCCCTGCCGGCGCGGGACGGTTGCCAACTTTCTCCAAGCAGCCCAGAGCCGAGGGCGGCGGGCGAAGGGAACAGTTTGCAACTTCAGAAGACTTGAGAGCGTCCCGATGAGCCCAGAAGGGGACCGAAGACAACCTGCCTCGGACAATCTCCCTCTCTGGCTCGCCCGCCACCGCCCTGCTCACATCCTGTAACGCGGATCCCAGTGGCTCAGTCCCTTTCCCACCCCCCGGCCCCAGCCCTACCTACTAGGGGAGGGGGTCGCCACCTCCCGGACTAGGTGACTCACCTGGTGCCGGTCCTGGGAGTCAGGGGCGAGTGTGGTTTCACCTGGTTCCAACGGCTGCTGCTCAGGTGACGGCCCGAGGTGGTGAGTGATGGGACCATTGGGGTCGAGGCCACTAGGGTTGCTCAGGGTGCCAGAGGTGCCCAAGCCGCTAAGGCGGGACTCGGCACCCCGTTCCCGCCTCAATTCGGACCTCAACTCTAGGTAGCAACACAACGTCAGCAGGTGGAGGGCCAGCGAGAGCCCAAAGAAACCCAGGAAGAGCCGGCAGCTGTTCCCTTCGGCTGCCCGGGCAGGGGCCCCGCGACAGCCGCAGCCCTGGCTCCCCTGCTCCTGTGGCGGTGGCGCTGCCGCTGCCGCTGCCGCAGGCAAGGATTCCCTGCGCTCTACCTCGGGGTAGCCCATGGCCTCCGGAGACACCCAATCTCTGAGGCCAGGGAGTCGCTTCGTTTGCCTCAGCCTTTCACGACCCCTGACAGGCGGCTACTGTCCTGCCATCGGCTGGGGGCTGCAGGGACCCGTTCCTGCGCGACTGTGGCTGGGCGGGACGGAACAGGGAGCAGCCGCATGTGCAGCTTCACTCCGAGGGGTGGGAAAGGGAGGAGGAGGGGCTGGAGAGAGGGGCGGTTCGGCCCGCGAGGGAATGAGGGAGGAGGTCCCGGTCGACCCCGCCCCATCCCTCCAGTGGCCGCTGGGACGCCCAACCACTGGGCCCGCCAAACCTAAGTGCCCCGCCCCCAGCCGTTCCGCCCGGACTCCCGCCGCGAGGCGGGGCCTGGGGGCGTGAGGGTTCGCCCTTGCCTGGCAGCCCCACCCAGCTCTTCCCGCTTACCCCGCTCCAGTTGGTGACTATTGCTGTCCTTCATGTCTCGACTCCGCCCCAGTTTAACTCCTCAGCGCCAGGAAGGGGAGGGGGGGAGGGAGGGAGACTGAGAAGAATTTGGGAACCTTGGAAAGAAAGTAGAGCAAAGAAAAGGAGGCAGAAACTAGCAGTAATAGAAATGTTTGCAATTAACTGCAGTCGCTAATAACATCATCCAGTACTTATCTGTTGCTTTCAATCTTCAAAGCGTTTAACAGACGTTAAACTAATTAAAACAGTTCTAGTTTTGGAATGAAACCATGCCTGCTGTGTTTGCAATCCAATGGCTCACCAAAAGAAAAGGAGCCCTAAGAACCTAGGAATTCAAAGGGACTGGAAATCAGGCAGCTTCACCCCTGGAGTGAGTCTGGGGACTCATTCTAACTCACCGAGGTGCTGCTGCCTAACAGAACTGGTTATGTTACCCCCTGAAGGGCAAAACAGTCTCTTGGGTTTCTTGGTATTTAATTCAACACATACTTATTGATAGTTTTTGCAGGGCACAGACTGCTGTTGATAGAATCCACCACCATAATAGTTTCTCTTCTTCAACTGCTGCAGGGATTCTCAGTGGAGAACACGGTGCCTTCAAGAAGACAGTGGAGAAACTGAGGGCGACAGTGAGATGTTTTTTGACAAGGGTGGTCCAAAGAATAGCCAGACACTATTGGCATCTCTATTTGCAGGCAACTGTTCTGGCCTCTCCACCCCTCCCATGCTTCCCCTGGAGTACTCCCTGGGGGAAGTTCAACAAGTCAGCCAAAAGTTCCAGATGTACACTGCTGTAACTGCAGCATCTTCAACAGCTGCACCAATCAGAAATGGATTCAGAACAAAAAAAAGTGGCAAATGTCAGAACAATAGACCCTGAAATAAAGGATGGAAAGGATTAGTTGAGTCAAGAGTTACAACTGACAAGAGTTACCAGTCTGAAATTTTAGAGATCTAAATGATTGAAGCAGAGCAAGCATGCACATTTCTTAACTAATCTCGTTCCCATGTTATTAACACAATTTTCTTGACTTGGAGCAGGCATCTTAAGAACCACCAAGGAGACAGATTCAGTAATGCCCAGAGCACTTACAGGTAGGCCTGTGACCTAGACCAGTGAGAGAGAAGGAAAGCAAAGAGTAAGTAGAAAAAATGACAGAAGAAGAGAAACAAAATACAACAAAAGCATATGTCAGAAGGTCAGTCCAGAGAGCACAGAGGTCACAAGCCTTAAATATATTAGCCACAGACTTTACTACTCTCTGTGCATGATCTCAGTGATTCCAAAACATCTTTTTTGTTCTGTCTTTAAAGTGTATCCATGCAATTGAATGTTTGCAAATACCAACATCATACATATACGGAAGAAAATAAAAAGGTTCGTAACTGCTGCTCTCAAGTCCTGCTTGTCCAGACCAGAAATCCTAGATGCTAGGAAAACTGCCACAAATATCAGAGCTCGGGATTATTGGAAAGAACGCTAGGCCAGGAGTCAGAAGACCTAACTCTGCCACTAGTTTACTAGGTCACTGTGAGCAAGGCACTGTTGTTCTTTTTTTTTTTTTTGCGGGGGGAGACCGGGGAGGCTTAGTTTCTGCAAGTTGTCAAAAGAAGAGTTTTAACAGTAACAGCTATTACATCATCACTGGCTATGTTGACTTTGTTGCATACATAATTTGAAGAGGCTACCCTTTCTTCCTCTGATGGTGCTAGCAATGTTTAGGGGCCTACTGGTCTCAGTTTTTCACTTTCTACCATGCTTTCAACAGCTGAAGTGAGACTTAGGTTATATCATTGCCCCATTGATGCCTTGGAAGTTATATTTGACCCAGAACCTCACTTTGGTTTCCCAAGGAAAAATATATAGCTTCATATATAGTAGAAATGTTACAGTGTGGCAATCAAGTAAAGAATGTAAATGGTTATTTTCTCTGCGTGTCCTTGGACCTCACCCAAGCTAGGTGAGTGCTCTACCACTAAGGTATACCCTAGTCTGTGATTTTTCTTTTAAATGTTTAAGCTCTTGAAAGTGTTAAATTGCTTCCATTTCTGTCCTGTAAGTGCTTATCCTCTATAGGACAAGTCTCAGAATGATACCCTGCAGGCCATATCAAACAAACATGTATGTTGGGCACAATATTCCCTAAAAGTTTGAATTGAAAAACTTCAGTTGCCAGTATTCAGAAATCTAGACATTTCCCATTTTCAATATTGTATATTTTTACCAGGCACTGCTGGCTCATGCTTGTAATTCTAGCTATTCAGAAGGCTGAGAGGCTAAGGCTAATAATGGTTTGAAGCCTACCTGGGCAAAACAGTCCGTGAGATTCTTATCTCCAATTAACTAGCAATAAGCCAAAAGTAGAGCTGTGGATCAAGTGGTAGAGCACCAGCCTTGGCTGAAAAAGCTCAATGACAGCACCCAGACCCTCAGTACAAGCCCTAGTACTGGCATCAAAAACGTAGATTTTTCTGCTCTTTCTATAAAAACATCAGAAAACTTGCTCACACAGGATCTACATTCTAATGTTGGTATATGCATCAAGAACTACTCCCCTTCAGATGAACATAAGAATCAAGTTCTATATAGCCATCCTCATCTCTTTCCTCTGGTCTCCAATACTGTCCTACTTATTCACTTGCCTTACCTCTCTGACCCAGTGCTGTACAAGTGATAAAGTTATAGCTCCTAGGAAAACCTCTAAGCTGCTTCTCCAACATATTTTGCATCATCCTACAAAGAAGCTATCCTCACATCCTACACAATTCACAGACCTCTGTACATTTGCACAAGCTAGTTCCTTTGCCAGGAATGCCCCCACTTTAAAATCATAAATTCTTTAAGAATTCCTTCTCTTGGTCTTTGGTATGGCCAACACTCCAAATTCATTTTTCCTTTATGCCTTCATTTGCTACCTGAGCATACCTTAAAAGAATCACTTATCACCTTGTATTTTGAATATTACACATGGGTTTCTCTCTGCTAAACTGAACTTGTTAATAGCAAGAACTATTTTTTTTCCATTTTAGTCGTCCTACTGCCTAGCACAACACCTAACACACAGTAGGCACCAGAATGATTGTTAGATGACTAGATCATTAATTTGACCACAGTAACCTAGACTACATATATATTTTTTAAGTGGGCCAATGAATACCTGTCAGTACCACTAATGAACACATTATGGAAAGATATAAAAGACTTAGAACCAAATGAAAGTACTGACAGTATAGCTCAAGTGATAAGATATTTGCCTAATGTGTGTAAGGCCTTGAGTTCAAATCCCAGTGAATGCTGCCAAAGAATAATACAGTATAATTTCTCCTTTATTTATGCTATTATAATATCGGCAGATATTTCAGAAATGTAAATAATCTACAAACTCAAAAATATCTGGTTTATAGTACATCATTGGCCTTTCTTTTTTATCAAGTAGCCTTTCCACTTTTGTTTAATTGAGCCTACTGTTAAAATATTTTGAATTGACAACCCCTAAATAACAAATGTCCACAATAAGTTAAGTCAAGTGTGCTGATAAACACCTGATTGCAGCTACCTGGGAAGCTGAGGCAAGAAAATCACTAGAGGAAGATCCTGGACTCCAGATTAGCCTAGATAGCATAGCAAAACCCCGTCTCAAAAAGAAAAAGTTCACAATCCCTGAATACCCACTAATCAAGAGGTGTATGCTAAGGCAAAGATTGGTATTAAAATACCTTTTTGCTATTTCTAATGTGCAAAATAATTGACATACAGATCGAAAAGATAACTCTAATCGACTTAGAGGTGAGAAGATAGTGGGGAGGGGCATAGATACTGTTTTGAGTGTCAGTTTATTAACTTACTAAGTCACAGACTTAGGATACAAGTGCTAAGCTAAAACACAGTTCTGACTTTTGCCTCTCCTGCAGATCCTCAGTTTCCACATATGTAAAATGGGAATGACAATAAATATTTTCCTAAGACAGCTGTTCTTGAATGGGATACATAGAGTGAAGACTTTACCTCTTAAGTCTCTCAACAACTGAGACTATGAAATAAACTGACAATGGGCAGATTCACAGGGGCACCACATGAAAGAAAACTGAATGCCAAACCTTAGTGAGCTCTAGAAACTTTTTTTCCATCCTCCTCAAAGGGGAGAGAGAGGGAGACAGGCAACTAGGAAGAGAGTAAATGATTTTTAGGAAAGATTAATGGACCTTCAGAAGAAAAGGTGACAGTCTGTGACAAAGTTTATAGATGTGGTTCTGAGCTCTAGTTTCCTCTCCTGTGATAAGAGTTGATGACATTCTTGCAAAGGGGATTCATGACAATTTAGTTCCATTTGGAGGATCTGCTTTTCTGTAGAAAAGAGAAGTTCAGAGAAAAACCCTCACTGCATTTGCTGGTTCCCAAGTGCCCTCTGTTTGAAGTCCAAAGTGGCATATTTGGGGTGGCATTTCCTGAACTCCTATGTATCAAAGTATCTGGCACATAATAAATGAAGTGCAAATGTTAGTCCCTGCTATGTAGAAGACTTCTATCAAAGGGGGATGAGAGGAAAAACACTCAATGGAATTCACAAACAGCAGAAATGAAGAAAGGTTACATATTTTGCCCTCACCAAATGCTTATCTCCTTTTGGATATTTTTTGCCAGTTCTACA